TTAGAATGATGGCCATTTGCCACATTACTTAATTTGCCACATTACTTAACCTGGTTTGGCCCTTTGCAAGAAGAGCAAGCAAAAAGAGCAATTACATAATTCATTTTCACGTTAGAGAACTCAGTGCCTGCTCACTAAAGTCTAAAATAGAAATAATTTCATACAGTTTATAATTAAAAAATTCTATCAAAATTCCTAAATAGATTTTTAAAAGCAATGTAGTAATTTTCTTTAATCTTAGAAATGGTGAAAATACTATCAAAAGGACTCCAAACCACTTACATGAGTTTTTTTCCCTAATGACATCTTTCTCTTTCTCCCTACACACACGTGTGTACACACATAATTGTAAGATGCACCATTTTTTACAACTTATCTCTGATCAGGACAAAACTTAGAATCAATGGCTTGTCCTAATTTAATTGGCAGCATGATTTTCTTTCTTAGCTTTACATAAAATAATGGTGCATCTTAAAATGGATGGCAAATTAAAATATAGTGTACATGTACATATATATACTTAAAAGGTGAACTAGAAAGTTGTGCTGGTTGAATACTCAGGAATCCTAGAGGGGGTATGACTGATCCAGGTATCAGAAAATCCAGAGTTCAAGCTGTTCCACTGGGCATCGTCCTCTGCATGTAAATGGAATGTGCATCCTTGAACCTGGGTCCCATCTGTAGGGTCCCAAGACTTGGGTTCAAGATCCTGCTTGGAAGGACCACATACAGTGGATGCTCTGTATCTGGACTTATTGATAGTTTTGTCAATATAATTCTGGAGAAATGATTAATTAACAGAGCTCTGATTTAGCATACCCGAATCCCTTAAGGAAGAGATACACAAACATTTAGATGCTGCATATTCTAGCATTCAACCCTGGCAGTGTTTAATGTTTATGCGAGGCTTCTGGAGGCAACACTTCAGCTGTTAGGAGTCGCAGCAGAAGCCAGAGGATTGGATGAGGCCTCCTACCTGAATCAGCAAGCATTTCTGTAATAGCTTTGCTTATTTGTGGGGTGAAGGGATTTCTGCAGCTGAGAGGCTGAGGACTTGGCGTGGTTTGAGGGTCCCTAATGAATGTGCCAAAGTCTCTGACTGGCAAACTCCATACAAAATAATAATTGTTTAGATACTGCTGAAAATAATTAATTTGGGTTTTGGAAAGCTTCCTGCTTGGTGCATTCAATTTGAAAGGCCTCCTCCTCTCAGTGTGTGCCTGCAAACACAATCCCTGGAACGACAAAAGAGGGTGATAAAAGTGTTGTCGCTACTGGCCTTCCGAACCAGTGCGGAGTTTCCATGGAAGTGGGCATCAGGGCGATGGATTTCTTTTCTTCTCTACTTGAGAGATGAAGTTTTCATCGTTTTCTGGGTGGTTTGGAGCCTTTAGAACAGTGTCTCCAGACACATTTCCATTGAGAGCACGTGGGTAACCAGAGACAATGCAGGGAGACTTGTGCGTGGCTTTGCCCACGAGTCTCTTCTACCCGATCCAACCAAGCAGAACTACAAAACTCAAGACCCAGCCAGCCAGAGAAGATTTGTTCAGGATCATCAGGAGGTTGTTGTTTTTTGTTTAAAAAAAATTTTTTTATTGCCTAGTTTTTTTGGTTTTTGTTTATGTTTTTATTGCTGGGTGGTAATTAAGTTTATTTATTTATTTAATGGCAGTACTGGGGATTGAATCCAGGCCCTTGTGCATGCTAAGCACACACTCTACCACTGACCTATCTCCCTCCCCACTGAGCTGTACCATTCCCCCACTGGAGGTTTGATTGCTAAGCTGGAAAAGAGTGCAGAATGTAGTCTTTTAAAAGCCTGATTTTAGTGTAGGGATGCTGAAGTGGTCAGTAGAGGTCCTATTCTGCTGACACAAGTCTCTTTCTGTTCACTCATTCACTAGATATTTATTGTGCACCTTCTGGGTGTACATAGTTTTCTAGGCACTGAGGATTCAGAAAGAGCAGTCAATAAAACAGGCACAATCTCTATCCACATGGATTTTCCCTTCTGGAGAATGGAGACAGCAAGCAAATAGATGAACTGATCACATCAAGAAGTGATAAATGGTGTGAAAAAAAATAAGGCAGGTAAAGGGAGAAGGAGTGCCCAGGTGAGGATGGCATGTTGCTGTAGCCCCCTCTGGCAGGGGGAGATTGAGCAGTATAGAGATTTGAAGGACACTAGGGAGTGAGGGCATTGTGGTGGAGTATGTCCAGCAGAAAGAAGAGCATGTGTGAAGGCCCTAATGTGGAGCCAGCTCAGCATGGGCAAGAACTGGAATGGAGGCCTCAGAGCTGAAGCCGTTGGAGCAGGGGATAGTGATGGGAGGTAAGATCCAAGAGAGCCCAGGGAGGGCTATGAATCATGGAGGGATTTTCAGGCCATCGTAAGGACTCTGACTTTCCTTTGGAGGCAGTAGAGCACAGGAGTGAGATGATCTGAGTCATGTTTGACATGAGTGCTCTGACTGCTGTGTGAAGACTACACCATGGCAGGAGGCAAGTGTGGAAGCAGGAAGACCAGCTAGGAGTCTCTGCAGTGGTCCTGACGAAGGCCAGATGGCATGGACCAGGGGGGAGATGGAGGGAGATAGGCTGAGTCTGGATATATTTTGAAGGTAGAACCGTCAGGATTGGATGAGGGATGAGCTGATGAACTAGGTATCAGAGCATGAGAAAGAGACGTGAAGGACTTTAGGTCTGCTCAACTGGAAGAATGGAGCTGTCATTTATTGAACTTGGGTCACTGGAGGTAAAGCCAGGCTTTTGTTTTGTTTTGTTTTTTGAGTAAAATCCCATTTGGACTTGTTAAGTCTGAGATATGTATTAAACATTCAAGTGGAGATGTTGAGTACACAGTTGTGAGACTGAGTTCAGGAGAGAGGTCTGGGCTAGGGCCATAAATTTGGAAATCATTAGCCTATAGATGATATTAAAGGGACTGAATGAAATTATCGAGGGCAAGTGTGTAACTAGCGAAAAGGGTTGAGGATAGAGTCCTGGGGCTGCTGCTAGAACACACCCAGTGCTGGTGGATCTGCCCTGTCTTACGTTGCCCTAATGAGGGAGAGTCAGGCAGAGTCTGGGATCAGGTCTTTCCACCTTCCGGAGTGTATTGGAGAGGTCACAAGAAAGTAAGGTCCTAATCTGGTTAGCAGATGTTTGGGTGAGGTTTATAATTAAACAAAGCATCCTATACTCTCTACCAACTGCACCAAACCTCTCCTGACACCCCCACCCCCACTCCACAGACACCATCACTGTGGAGGTAATTCTGTCTCCTCCCTAAAGAGCTACCACCTTGCCACCTGTGTACTTTCTACCTGTTGTCTTAAAATTGAGTAACTAGGGAACAGTGTCTTTGTACTGAGATTGGTACTTAAATCTTGGCTTTGTTACATGCTAGCTGTGTGACCTTGAGGAAGTCTCTTAACCTCTGTGAGTCTCCATTTCCTTATATCCACATCTCACATTCATTTGACAATGGAATGGAATTATATATGTAAAGAGGCTACCCCTGTGTGTGACAAATAAGAGGTAATTATAATAGTAAATTATACTGCTTCATACATCTTTTTTTACTTAAATATCGCAACAACCTCACGAGGCAAACACTGTTAATATTTCTGCTTTACAGTTAAGGTTAAGTAACTTGGCCAGCTAGTAACTCAAGCAGCCTGGCTCTAGGAATTATTCATGTAACCACTCTGCTATACTACTTCCCGAGGCTACTTAAAATTTTTCTTCTTTCTCATTTTTAATTGTTTTGTATTGCATAGCACAAGTTTTCAATTTGCAGTTTTGTATTTTTCCTTGTTACAAAGTTGCATTCATTATCTGATCCTAAGACAATGGTCATCGCCTTTATACTAAAATAGGCAGTTTAATGCAATGGCAGGAAAGAAAAAGTCAAATTTTCTGAAAAACAAGAGATAAGGTCTTATTGCCAACCTTTTCTGTGGGAAGCCCGGTCAGTGTAGCTGGGCATACAAAGCAAGCTGGAGACATGACTTTCTCCTTGAATAGACAAGAACTGACAAAAAAAAAAAAATTATGTGTTTGGAAAACCATGAAAAGCTGAACAGTGAGTGAGGGATTTCCATTTTAGAATGTTAGGGGAAACTGGAGTCTGTTGGTGCCCTTCATGTGTGCACGTGGGCTCATACGTGCCTGTGCACGATTGGAGGTGTGTGGGTAGATGTGAATGCATGTATGTAAAATATGTGTGTGTGTGTGTACATTTGTAACATACAACACTTAAGTGACTACCGAAGGAGTTGGCCCGGTGGGAGTTTGGCACAAAAAAATGGGCTGAGATTAATTTTCTGATTTATGCTTCTTCAAATCATTGAGCTGATGACACTTAGAAGAGAAAACAGTCTCCAAGGAGAAAATAAAATCATGTTTCCCATGAAATAGGTCTGTCATATTTAACAAACAAAAGTACTGGACTCCTAGTTATATTTTTGAATTTTAGATAAACTGAATATTTTTGTAGTATAAATATGTTCCACGTAATATTTGGGACATCCTTTACCCAAAAATTATTTATCTGAAATCCAAATCTAAACTGAACATGTATTTTATCTGACAACCGTACCATGAAAGAAGATGAATTTAAATATCTGCTGATTTTTTTAAATCTTTAAAATCTACAAACCACTTGTAGACTAGAAAAGACCTTTGGTTCTGGCTGGGGCATCAGCCTCATTTTTTTTCCCCTTTCAGAAAGTTTCTTAATGACTTGGCACGACCATCTGTGAAATGGGGAAATAGTCCAATGAGCACTCTGTCCTCTCCCCAGGGGAAAGCCCTGTTAAATTTCACATCCGTAGCCTCATGTTTAATGGCCTGGGGCCCTTCAGAGAACTTCATTCTTCACTCCAATCAAAAAACCAAGTAAGACTTTTTAAAAAAGGATTCTTATAATGTGTCTTAATAGCCAGCCAGTATCCTGTGGTGTTCAGTTTCTCCTCTCTTTTTCCCTCTCTCTAGCTTGCTTGGTGACAGAGTTATCCTTTCAGAAGAGTAGCAAACTCTGGGAAATTTCTGGAAGAAATAGCACACTGATGAGAATGCAGAGAGGAAACTCCCCATGACTCTGGGAAGCACAAAGCAGGCACAGGTGAGTCCCAGGATCCAGAGGGCTTGTGATGGTGGGATTGGAGGGGAGCCCTTGATTGCCCAGGTGGACGTTTGGACCACACAGGACTTCTTCCACCTGGGACAGTGTGGCGTGGAAGGGCAAGCCTCAGGTTCTCGAGGAGCTGTCTGTGGGCTCATGCTGTGTCTGTCCGCTCTCGCTGTCTGAGCTGGAACCTCTTGGGCCTCTGCTTTCCTTGCCAATAAAACAGCTGAACTACTAGTACCCCGGTCACACGGTTACTGTAAGGACAAAGTGACAACATTAATAAAGCCTTGTCTGGCTCTCAGGAAGCCCTGCATTAAGCCCTACATTAGTCATTACTATTATTTTTTGTTGTTGCCTGGGATGGTTTTTCCTAATAAGTTCAGTTCTAATTTTTATTAATAACCTTTTCTGGTGGTAGATGTAATGCATATTCATAGAACAATTTATAAAAATCCAGAAAAACTACAGGAAAAAATTAAATCAAAAATACTCCATAAAGCTATCTCTGGTCTTTTTTTCTCTGCATGTACTAGTTGTTCTCAATGCTGACACGGCATCAGAGCAACCTGGGAAGCTTTTTAAAATACAGACACCCTGGCTCCAAACCAGGCTAAAAAATTAGAACCCCTAGGGGTAGGGACAATGAATCTGTATTTTTTTTTGAATTCCAGAACATTCTATTGCAAAATCAGTCTTAAGAACCCTGACACACATGCAGAGTTGTCTGTCTCTCTCTCGTAGTTTTCAAAAATTGGACAATATTGTACATTTAGTTTTGTAAACTGCTTTTGTCAAGTTGCTTTCTCTCTCATCATCACTCTTCCTCTCCAGTGTCTTATTTTTTTTCTTAAGGCATCAGCTGTGGTTTCTAATAAGCTCTTACCCACTGCTTTTCACCTAGCGGTCCTCTCACAAAATGAATCCATTTAAAAATGTCATCCCTCCTGCCTTCTCTTCTTCCTGCCTTCAGATCTGCCACAGTTGATGAACAGAGACCCAGTCACCATTATTCATTCTCTCTGTCTCCGGGATTTCAGCTCCCTAACTGACTCTGGCCTCTCTGTCATCCCTTTGTGTCTAAAGCTGGAGATCATGCTGGTGGACATGCCAGTGTGGTTTGTACATTTTCTCCCCTAAATTATTAATTTGATGTAGAGCACTATTTTTCATTTAGGACTCAGCCGACCATGGTAGTGTGATTTTAGCTCAAAACAACCTCCAAGGACTCTTGGGAGAAATTTCCTTGGCTATCCACCTGACATGTTAGGAAAATAAAATGACATTAAACACCATTTAAAACAAACAAACAAACACCCTGGTAGACAGCTGTTTCCAGTTACTGATGAATGAAAATGGACGTGGGGTGAGCGAGGGCCCTAAACCAACAAAGCAGCAGACACCCCACCAGCAATGCCCACCCTGCTGCCGTATTTGGAGTGATATCTGGAATGTCTGGAATCAGCAATCACAGGACAACACACATCGCCCCGCATCCTGTCCTCCCAGGCTGGTTCCAGCTACTGAATGGAAGCACACGTGATGGTTGTTTGAAAACTTTTCAAAACTTTGTCAGCCAGAGGTTTCTCAAGAAGCGCCGTGATAAAACGTGCACCTGGGTATCATTTGTGTGGAAGAGCAAGACGCGTGGACCATGGCGAGTGACTATCTGGTCTCTGAGAGGGGAAACCAGAAGAGGTCTCCAGCCCTAGAGCTGGATCATCTGCTTTGGTCCCTGGCCCGGTGGACTGAGGAATAATGAGGAGGGCTGCAGGCCACCCTGAGGACAGCAGGGCGTTGCAAAAAGAGTCCTGACTCGCTCAGTGAATGAACAGAAGCAAATGAAGGCAGCGTGCAGTGACTGAGGAGCCGTGTGCCAGGCTCACTTGAGGCTGATTGAGGGAACACTGGAGAACAGCCTCTTCTCTATCGGATGAGTAAATATTTTCAGTGGTGCTGATAGGACAGCTTTCTGTTTAAGAGTGAAGGAGATGAAGATTATTAGAAAGATGAAGCCGGTGAAGTTAATTGGGGGTGTGCCAGCCCATTCCCCTCATCGCAGGCCTTAGGAATGAGAGTTTTAAATGTGGAAACTACTTCTTGCCGTGGGGAAGAACGTGGGTGTTGTAGTCACATAAACTTGCAAGTTCTTCCACTTACCAACTGGTTCCTGAGTATTTCTAAGCCTTGTTTCTTCCTCTATAGAATGGGGATAGGTACCCACCTCACAGGGTGGGAGCTAAACCAGATAAGTGCACACAAGTGTCTGGTACATGTAGTGCCCGCCGGTTTCCCATAGCTGATGGGGCCGGAGGAGAGGGGAAGTGAAAAGTCTCCACACCAGGCTGAGGTGGGGTGATGCTGCTCTCAGGGGTGATGGAATGCTTTTCCTGCGGGGCGATATGACTCAGAACTCTGAGCGTGGCGGGGAAGCCTGCTAGGGCCCTGGCTGAGGCTGACCCACTGAGTGTGATGGTTTAATGGTTTGTCAAGAATGTGTAGGCACGGCCCTGCTCTGGTTGGTTGTTTAGCAAGGTGTGACTGATAACAGAAGCTTCTCTGTGAGGCAGTTTGTACTTCAGTTCTTTTTTTATCTCAAATAATGAAAATTGCAGGATACCAGGAGGCTAAGACCAGTCCAAAAGGTTTTGCACCTCCCTTACCTGCTATCATATCAGATGCACCATCCAGGTAACAGCCCTACTGCTCCTGCTTGCAGCCTGAACGTGGGCTTCTTCAGTTTTCCAAACTCTCCTCCCTCTGAGGGTGGTATCTCCCGTTTGGTGGTGATGGAGACAGCAGAGGAGTTGCCCAGGAGCCAACCAAGCCTTTGCAGGCCCGTCCCAGTGACCGTGCCTGGGAAAGCAGGCTTGCTAACCTCTCTGTTAGTTTCCTCAGAGCAGAAATTAAGCACCCATCTTGACATTTAATTCCAACCCTCCTTTTCGGACACTGAAGGAAAGATTTCTTCTCATTCTTGAACTGAAGAAAAGTAAGGAAGAATGATTTCTAAACAAAGTGTGATTTTAAGCAGCACATTGATGTACATATGTTCTCCTCCTTTGTTGCAAATGGGCAACCTTTCTCTGGGAGGGGACTAAGATCTTATTGTAAAAACAATAAATATTGAACTCAGTTGGTTCCTTACTTCTACTTTTCATGAGAAAAAGAAAAGATTGCTACATGGCAGCCTAGGGAAAGCCTCAACACCATGTAGAGCATTTTCCATAATACGAACTGACATCACCACATACCTGCTACTGGCAAACAATATGCTAGATACTTTATGAAATTATTTCACAGCAACTCTTCCCATTTTTAAAAATTGAAGTATAATTCACTTACAATATTATATTAATTTCAGGTGTAGAGCATAGTGATTTAGTATTTTTACAGGTCACTCTTCCCATTTTAAAGATAAGAAAACGGAGGAGTTTTTGGCTGGGAAAGCCTGGAGGGGAGAGTAGGGAAAACGTAGGTCAGGACCGAGGGAAGTTTGGTGAGAAGAAACCCTGCCATTCCCGTGTTCTGAAGAGAAGAGCAGCAGCACAGCCCATGTTGGAGGATGAAAGCAACTCTGAGCCTGGGTTCTGGCTAAACCACAGGGGCTCATGAGCAGCTTGTATAAATCAAGATTCTTGGGTGCAAGTGACAGAAATCAAACTCAAGCTAACTTAAGCTGAAAGGGGAGAAATATGCTGGTTTATCTAACTGGGGAGCCAGGAGTAGGTGTGAGACATGGCTGGAAGCAGGCATCTGTGTAACATTCACTCTCTTCTGTGCTCTCCTCTGTGCGTCAGCCTCGTTCTCTCCCATTACAGTCAGGCTTCCTGCATTCAGCCAGGTCTTTATGACCCCAGCTCAGCAAGACTGGCAGAAACAGCACATTTTCTCAGTGTGTATTAAATGTACATGGTTAGTAATGCATGGCTATAAGTGTGGAGAAGGGCTCTGATAAGTCCTGTCTGAGGTGGCCGACTGCTGGACCAGTTATAATTAGCGTTGTCAGGGTGATCGGGCACCATGATGAGCAAGCCCATGGCCAGGGTAGGGCAGTAAATTGTGACTGACAGCTCCTTATGAATGCTGTGGACTGGAGATGAGGAGCTCCCCGAAGGAAGTCAGGGAAGCAGAGCAGGCAGAATAACAGATGCCCAGTGAGCCCTTGAACTGATGAGGAGCATCTGAGTGATGCCATTTTAATATTGCTGCTGTTGTACCCCTCGTCACTCTAAACACGGCAGTATCATGTGCACCACTGTGTTAGGTGGCTAGAGCTGCCGTAACAAAACGCTACAGGCCGGGTGGCTTAAACAATGATTGCTTTTCTTACAGTTCTGGAGGCTGGAAGTCTGAGATCTGGGTGCCGGCGCAGGCGAGTTCTGGTGAGAACCCTTTTCCTGCCTTGCAGAAGGCGGCCTCCTTGCTGCGTGCCCATGCAGCCTTTTCTCAATGCGTGCGCATGGAGAGAGACCTCCAGTATCTCTTCCTCTTCTTATAAGGGCGGCTTACAACCTCACTTAACCTTAATCTTCCTTAAAGATCCTATGTCCAGGACAGTCACATGGGGTTAGAACTTCAACATGTGAATCTGGGACGGACACAACTCAGTCCACAGCCTCCTGGGATCGAGATACTTCTAGAAGGTACAATCCATCCCTGTTTCACAAACATCTTATGCTTGAAAATGATTGCCAGAAATATTTGAAATTCTGGGTAAATAGAATTCAAGAGGAAAGAATTGGCATTGCCTCTAGATTCTAAGCTCCAGGACGGCAGGGGACTGCGCCTCAGTATTTTACCCTGTTGCCACTGGGGGTTGACTAGTCTGGAGTTTTTCAGAGGCAGGCAGTTTTCTGCTGTTCCTTTCCTCTGTCTCTTCCTGGTTCTGAAGACACAGTTACTAATGATCAGCTCTAGTGCTCTGCCTGCACTGTCCCCAGAGAAATAAGGTTTTACACATGGGAGATGGTGTTATAAAAGCATATTTAACAAAATAAAATATAGTACACATACACCTGCACATGTGATCAGTTACTTTAACAATATGCTCAGGAAGACTTTCATCCCCAGGTATTTTAGGCTTTCCTTTTCAAATCTAGGATTTTTTTACAGTTTTTATTCTGGGGCTTGTCTGCTTATTCCTTTTTCTGGGCTTTGGATTTCAGATGCAGTCATAGTTTTGTACAGGCAGGAAAATGTCCCCTTCTTCCCCGCTAGGATCTTTGACTGGCCTAATAATGAAATTAATATGACAGATTAACAGGAGGAAAACAAGCTTAATTCTCTTTGTACAGGGAATCCCATGAAAGTATGAGACTCAAAGATGTGACCAAAGCCAGCAACTTTGACACTTTTTAGACAAAGAAACAGTAAATTTATGAAGAATTGACAAGACAAAGGGGTTTGGATCAAATTAGTGAAGACCTAACAAAGTTTGTTTATATAGCCTTCTCAGTCCTGAATTCCCTATTTCTGGTGATAAAAATACCTCCTGTTCTCCTGGAACAGGGAGGGTACCTTTCAGGTGGGAGATTTGTCCTCTGCTTTCAGGGGGACAAAGCAAGTTCAGAGTGCCCCTCTTATACAGTCTGTTTCTCAAGTAACTTTAATTCAGAATAATCAGTTTGCCAAAGTAGACTATTTGAGGGTAGCATATTCTTCTCCCCTTCTGTTTGCTGCTGGATTAAAGCCTCTGTATTTCCTTAAATTTTTAAGAATGAAGAGGATCATATGTGACTGCTTCACAATAGCATCTGAAGTTCTATTTTCATAGACTGTAGTGGTGACTTACTTTGAAGAGGCCGTCTGGGTACCAGGCCTGCCCCCAGCTCTGTGGCCTTGGGCTGGTTAAACTTTATGGGCTCATTAGCCTCATAAAGTTGTAGGATATATGGAAAGTGCATACAGCACAATGCCTGTCCATAGGAAATGCTCTAAAACAATAACTATTATAATTATCCCTCCCTTTTGCAAATTGCTCAATGTCCCAAATGCAGGGGTCTAACCCTCAAATGCCTCAGGGGCCCGGAAGGTGATTTAATGCTTATTTACCTGGTGTGGGGCATAGGGAATGGAGGGAGCCCTGCTGAGGTTGGGGAGTGCATGCTCTGCTAAAAGGGAGTCAAACTTTATAACCAAAAGGAAAGGAAGAGAGGGAGGAGGGAAGGCAGGAAGGAAGATAACGTACATTTCTGCCAGCTAGATTTGGTCCCATTTGCAACCCTTACTCTGATTTAAAGGTGAATATATTTTAAGAGGCTGAGAGAGCTATGTTCGGGAAACAAATCCCAGGTTTTAACTCTCAGTTTTCAACTGTTAGTGACAAAGGAAGTGCTTTATCAAATGTCTAACTAAAGAGGAGTCAGGTTGCTCTAAGTCTTTCAGGATAAAGGATTGATCTGCCCCATAACCAGTGTAAATGAGTTACTCAATAATTTTCAATAATTTATTATCAATAATAACAACATAATAGCAGCTTTATCTTTATTTATTGTTGTCTATTCTCAAGATGAGACTAAATTCAAGACAGGCAATTTTCTGGTAATTGAACAGCATGATATTGGTTTCAAAGTGAGGCTATGAGTTGCTTTGTTACAGACTCTCTGGGGACAAGTCTGAAAGAACTCTATGGGCCCCAGATGGTATTTACTAATATTATTTGCAGCCTATAAACATTTATGTGTATTCATCAAAGAACCTGTGTCTAGGCTTTTCTTATACAAAGGCATAATAAGGAAAAGGTAACATGGTGTGATTTGGGGAGGATAACAAAGCATTTGCATCCTTTTACAAAAATATTTCTTCCACGGTATCTGAAATTGCCATATTACTTAGACCTTTCCAATAAGGACATTAGACATCCTTCTTAAAATATCACCTCTCCAGCAATCCTGGAAGAAATGGTACATTGAGCCGTTATCTCTCACTTATACCATATCTCAAAATAGTTTATCAAATTCCAGGAATTTAGCTGGTCTTCATAGGAGGATAATAAGAGAAGTAATTTTTGATGAAGGGAAGAAGCTAAGGAAGACACATACACAAAGCCACATGTTCATTCATTCATTCATTTGGCCAACAATCATTGAGCATTGACTCTGGGCCATGCCCTAGGACAGAGCATGTAGTCTAGTTGAGGAGACACAATTACAGAGCAGCCCTAGTGCTATGGCAGAGATGTGTTTAGGGTATTATGGGCCAAATTCAAAGGGCATCATGATGGTTAATTTCATGTATTCACTTGACTGGGCCATGGGGAACCCAGATGTTTGGTTAAGCGTTGTTCTGGGAGTGTCTGTCAGAGTGTTTCTGGATGAGATTATCATTGGGATGGGTAGACTGAATAAAGTAGATGACCTTTCCCACTATGAGTGAGCTTTATCCAATTCAATCTGTTGAAGGCCTGAATAGAAGAAAAGGCTGAGTAAGAAAGAATTCTCTCTCTACCTGACTGTCTTTGAGCTGGGTATCCATTGCCTTGTGCGTTTAGACTTGGACTGGAACTGACGTCATTGGCTTTCTTGGTTTTCAGGCCTTTGGATCCAGAGTGGAACTGTACCATGGGCTTCCCTGGGTCTCAAGCTTGTTCACTGCAGATCTGGGACTTCTCAGTCTTCATTATCATGAGAGCCAGTTCCTTATACTAAATCTTGATCAATTGATTGATTGATTAATAGATATCCTTTTGGCTCTGTTTCTCTGGAGAAAGCCGACTAATACAGACATCCTCCTCAGTCTGGGCAGGAAGGCTTGGGAAGGGAGGCAAGTTGTAAGAATAATTTCCTGCAAGGTGAGGCCAGGCTTAATTCTGGAGGACACAGCAGAGTTAACAAGGAGATAGGTGGCTTATTGCATGCTTCAAGGCTCTGTCCCCAGATCTTTCCAGTTCAAAATTTTAACCAGTTACTTGGATGAATATATAAAAGGCACATTTACTATTGGCAGATGTTATAAAGTTAAGACAGATAGTGCTTACTTTGGACAGTGGCAAAATCAGGGCTCAGACAGATCTTGGCAGGATGTAGGATGAGCCAAGTCCAACCTAATAAAGCAGAGTGGAGGTCAATGAAAGGCCTTGCATGTGTGTTAAAAAACAAAGCAAAGCAACAACAAAGCAACCAGCTGCACAAGTTTGGGCAGGGGGTGAGAGGTGGGGAAAAGACATTTTAAAATTATTTTTTGTTGAGATGTTATTGACATAATGTTGTACTAATTTTAGGTGTACAACATAATGATTTGTGTATATATTGTGACATGAACACCACAATAAGTTTAGTGGTGCTCACAACATCCATCACCACACATAGTTATAATTTTTTTCCTTCTGTTGAGAACTTCTAAGATTTACTCTCTTAGCAACACAACTGTGTGTGTGTGTGTGTGTGTGTGTATACCACATTATGTTTATACATTCATCCATCGATGGACATGTAGGTTGTTTCCATTATCTTGGCAATTGTAAATAATGCTGCAGTGAGCATGGGGTGCAGATATCTTTTTGAGATAGTAATTTTATTTTCTTTGGATAGATACCCAGAACTGGAATTTCTAGATCATATGTTTTAAAAGACTTATTTATGTTATATGTTTTCATTCAGAATTTGGTAAGCTATGGCTCATCAGCCAAATTCAGCCATTGCCTGTTTTTGTGGCTGCTTTCATGCTACAACAGCAGAGTTGAGTAATTGCAAAAGAGACCATATTGGTTACAAAGTAGGAAATATTTACCATTTAGCTCTTTACAAAAAAAGTTTACCAACCCTTGGTCTAGTCCAGTGTGAATTCAGTGTGAGTCAAGAGCATGATATGCTCACTGAAAAAAAGCCATTTCTCTCTTTGGATCCATTTATTAAAATATAGACGCTTAAAATCATTTGTGAATGAATCAGTGGATGAACAAACAACCAAACTAGGGAGAGGATGGCTCTTTGTGGACCAGAACCCACCAGAGTCCGTAGCTCCATACTGAGGATACAGTTAAAGAGAAATACCGGAGGTGGAACCCTGGAGAGGAATACCAGCGACTGGAGCTCACTCAGAGGAGAGGGCTGAGAGGGTATTGGGAATCGTAATAGGAACAAATGAAGGAAACTGGGATGTTTAGCCTGGAGAAGCAAGTGCCCGAGAGGGATATCAACAGCATCACGGATATCAACTTACTGATGACGTTTATTGAGTCTTAGGTACCATGTATGTTTGATGACATCGATGATACTAATTGAATCTTGTGGAACAGGTTCCTTAAATATATTTATCCAGTCCTCACAACAACCCAATCAGAGCATAAGTGAAAACAGTAAAATTAAATTTCAGCATGTCAGTTTTATAAAGCAGTTTAGGTTATGGTGATTTAGCAGAAATCAGGAATGCAAGAAACGTATCACACTTATATCAAATTAAGGATGTTAAGTTATGTTAATAATGTATGCAACTTTAATTTTGTTTAACACTCTCTGCCAAAATAAACTATATTCCCTATAACTTAAAATGTGTGTGTGTGTGTGTATATATATATACACATACACAATAGTTTATCATGTACATTTAATTCCACTGTTTTGGCTGTAATAAAATCGATCTTGAAATTTAAGAAATTGGTAAAATTGGTGGCATTATTAGGCCCATTTTGCAAATGAGGAATCTGCAGCATAGAAGATTAAGCTGTCCAGGTTTGCACAAACAGTAAGTGGGGAGGCCGAGATTCAACCCATGCAGTCTGCCTGTAGAGCCTGTGTGCTTAATTGTATGCCATTTGCTGTCCTCCAGTATTTAAAGGAATATTAATAACCTTGTTATTTCTGATTCCAACAAACAGCGACAGCCAGAGGAGATGGTGAAACAGACTCCAGCTCAATACAAAGGAGAACTTTCAAATGCTCAGAGATGGAACAGGTTTTTTCAGTATTTCAGGTAAGGGCCAGATGACTTGACCAAGATTTCAGAGAGAGGATTCCAGAATGGATAAGAGCAGATGGCCCCCCAGATTTCTTCCTCCGCTTGATTCTACCATGGTCTAAGGCTGGGGCACTCCCTAGGATGGTCCACTTAGGTCAACAAGACACAGCAGACTGGGATCCAGGAGGGAGACACTTTTCTAAGTGCTTTAGAGATGTTAACTCATTTAATTCTCAAAACAGCTGAATGAACAGATACCATTAATGACATCGTTCTCATTTTACAGATGCAAAAACTGAGCCATATAGTGGCTACATAATTTATCCAGAGTCACACAAGTAATGAGTGTTAGAGCCAGGGTTTGAATTTTAGCATTCTGACCCAAAGCCTCTGCTCACAACCATTTCCATATAAAAATCTCTTACTAAGAGAGAATGTATAATTAGAAAATGTTCCTTTTATTTCCCTCTGCCTCCCCACCAAGATTTTTGGTATGTCCCCTTCCTATCTTGCAAACCACTGTATTACTAGAAGTTAATGATAGCAGTTGCCAATGTAACATTCTCATTTTGTCAGGTGATAATTTACAGGGTCTGATTCTTCCGCTTCAGAAACAGGATCTGAGGCAGGGGGTTCCCAAATGCACCATAAATTCCTACAGACTAATCAAACTTCTATGACTGTGTTCATTCTCTCAGAAGGCCTAACTGAAGGTATAAACAGTAATGTCCTACTCACAATATATATCTGGTTCCTGTTAAAGTATTACCTCCACTGTGGGAAACGCTGCATTTCTATACCTCTTCTACAGAAGGAAGGCTGGGCCTTACACCAGTGGTTCCTGCATATTAACTTCCCTAATGGGAAAGTGGAATTTGGTAATAAAAGGAATGACACTTGACACACAGTAGGTACTAAATATGTATTTGTTTAATACATGTGATCAATTGGAATTTATTGACTTTAGGAGAATAAAGGTGTCAAGATAATCTATTTCCCCTCATGGTGCTTTTTGGTCTCTGACAGTAGCTTGTCCTATTTAATTTTTTGCCCTCCAAATCTTTCTGTTTCCAGTAACTGGGCAAACAAAAATTAAAGTGTCTTCTCAATTGCTGCATTCCTGAGTGTAAAAATCTTTCTTAGGAGAAAATGTTGTTGTTACTGTTTAGACAAACTATGCTTCCAGCCTGCTTTTATTCCAGATCTTTTTTTCCTCCGTATTCACAGTAAGCTTTGCTAATCCAATTAGGACACAGAGCATGAACTGTTAAATAACTGATTCACTCTATAGATAAGGATACAGGCCTTTGTGTCTAAGAAGACCACTTGATTCGCTGTGTACAAGGACAGACTGTTCCTTGCCTGGTTTATTTACCATGTGTTTTAATTAGCTGCCCGGCCTTTCATGGTAGTTGCTGTTCCAAAAGTGGAGAGATTTGAGCTTGTTAAAGTGATGGCTTAAGTAAGAGCTTTGTCATTGTGTTTGTACTTTTCTCTCTGCTCTCACTTCTGCTCAGAAACTGAGCTCTGTAGCCCAGTATGACAACATTGGTATCCTCCCAGTGGCCCCAGAGGCAGGTTACACTACATTGTGGGCTCCTCAGTGGCACAAACTTTGTCTCATTGTCTTTGTACCCTCATGGTGTAGCACAGTGCCCAGCAATGCTTACAGCAAATGCTTAAAAAATACTGGTTGAACTTTTCAACTGAGGCCCATTCAGGAAGGCACACATCTTTGTCATCCTCTCTCTCATACTGTCTCTCACATATTGTCAATCTCAAAATCCTGTGTAATCTGTCCAGAGGTAATATGCAATGACTATTAAACCAACAGTGCACAGGGGCACCGACCAGTGAGCCACTGAGCTGGAACAGGATCCTGAAGGACCCTGCCTATGATAGACGTTGACTCCGCAGATCCAGGGAAGGGACATTCAAGGGAGAACCTAGGGCTGCGGCAGTGGTACTTACTAGTTGAAATGGAAGTATTTAAATATTTTAACAAAGGTACAGCTGTACTTGTGCATACCAGCTGATCATATCTGTTTAATTCCCCCAAAGCCATGCAGTACAATGCAGCCAGACTTATCTTTTTTTCCTTTCCCAAATGGAAATATCATTGCTTTTTTCCTCTGATAAACATAGCTGTTGTAAAAATATGGTAAAATTAGATGAGCTGGGAAGTTGGTAGCTGCGGCATAGCTTTTGTAATTTCTCTGAATCGCCAAATACAGACAGAGCAACGAGGGCGAAATGAAAAACCCGTGAACACATTTACAATAAAACTGGGTGACAAGATATTCCCCAAGTCCCCAGATACATGCATGGTATCAACATCTGTGCAGAGAAAGCAGAGGGAATCAGTGGGGCGTATGATGGGATGGAGAGTGGGAGAACCCCAGAACAGTCAACAGGCACGCACTGGAACGCAGGGCAGGCTCATTTGAGAACAGCAGCTGTAACTGGGAAGAGCCTGCCAACGCCAAGAGCAGGAGAGTTTGCAGTAAAAATGGAAGGAGCAGAAGCAGCCTAACTGTTACAGACTCTCACAACTGACCAGCCAGGGACCCTTTCCAGGATAGGATACTGGCTTGAGAAGAAACTGTGGAAGGAGACAATAGAGAAGGGAAAAAAGCCAGAGGTAAGTGGGGGAAGGAAAGAGATCCAAGAAATCTCAGAGCAAGCTGCCATGTTTTTTAGATCCTCATTAGACCATCAGAAAAGGGAGTTCCATGAAGTTACTAGAGCTAATTTGGGCCACACTCCTTCCTAAAATTTCAGGAAAGCTACTTTTCCATAAAAAAAAAGTAATAAAAAGTACCAAGATCAAATCCCACACAAAGTTGTTTTTAGAAAAAAAGGTGTACACCACAGAACATCTATCTAGACAGTGGAATCACACCAGAAATACATGTGCACAGAACAGATCAAAACTATAACCTTCTATTTAAAAGCCAGCTAGAAGATATTAAGAAAGTCATAGAAGATATGAGCACAAGTCAAATTAGAAAAAAAAATTTTAATGAGGTGATCGAACTTAGGAAAGAATTAGGAAGAAATAAAGAAATAAACTTTAGAAATGAAGACTAAACTGAAAACAAATAAATCAGTAGATGGGCCCTTAAGGAAAACAGGATGTGGAAAGAATGATATTTCTTTAACAAATTAAGAAAGAAACAAAAATTTCAGGAGAAAGTAACAAATACTGAAGATAGAAAAGTAAGATCCAGCATGTAGACAATAGGAATCCCTGAAGACAAAAACTAAAAGAAAGGAACAGAACACATGATAAAATTTTAATTCAAGAAAATTTCCCCAAAATTAAAAAAAAATTCAAAACTGCACGTGAAAAGAACATGCTGCACATGAGAATATGATACCAAAACTACCAATACTTAGATACATTCTGGAAAATTTACTATCTTTTAAAGAAGAAAAATCATTTGAGCATCTAAGCAAAACAGGAAAAGAAAATTATCTTATTAGTGTCAGACTTTATGAAAGCAACGGTTTACCCCAGAAGAAAACAGAATCACGTATTTAACTAATTTAAGACACTCAGGGTAGGAAAATGTGAACCATGTACAGTAAAACTGACTGTCAGGTATGTAAGTGTTTTACCTGACAGCTGTCATTAGTAGGCAAACTATTATCAACATTCAGGAACTCAGGAAATATTGTTCCGTGAACCTTTTCAGAGGATTCTACTGGAGAACAAACTTCAGATAAGAGACAGGTGGTGAGAGTTGAAAGTATGGCTGTTTTTAAATTCAGATAAAATGGGTGTTAAAAGGAGGAGAGCACAGCATGTAATGGCTGTATGACCAGAAAATGTAGATAAGGCACAACTATTGAAAAATGAGGGGGCAGAACAGGGAAAGTAAATGTGAAAATGTCCTTCAGTGTTTTCAGTAATAGTGTTTAGTAGTATCAGCATTGCTACTCTGAGATAGTCTGGGGATAAAGTAAATAGGTAAATATGGATATTCTAATTCTATCATCCCCTGTGTTCTTAGGAACCAGGATTTTCATTTGGAAGAAAGAAAACTGTGGATGTAACAAAAGAGGTTAAGTAAAAACTACACAAATTTAAACTGGAAATAATTTGTCTGTCTGTCTGTCTTGTCTGTCTAGTTTTTAGTCCGTATGACTTACATATATATAGCCTGTAGTCTGTAGACTATGTACAGAATTTAGGCCTCTTCAGAAGACAGAGCTAAGGCTGTAAGACTATATATGAATCATATACATCCAGAGGTCTAAATTTGTGACCAAGGCAAAAACATAGAGCATGCTTAGTACTAATATTGTGGTCTTGAAATACAATTTACCACTAAATTAAATTAGGGCTTCTTGGAGAAACGTTTAATTCTCAGAGAAATAGCTGATTCCTATCTGGGACAGACAATATACCAGATGAACCTGGAGCATTTTGTCATACTTGATAGTGAGGGAGGTAGCAAACACTTGTAGGGACGTGGCAAAAAAACCCCTCAGAAGCTGATTTGAAGAGGCTCTTATTAGCCGAAGATGAGACAATTTGAGCTTTCAGACAGGATAATAATTGCAGTTGATTAAAATGCACCAAATAGGTTTAACCCGTAAATTCATAGAAATATTAAAAATAATTTATTACTTTCAGAAAATGATAGGGAATCAATTCATTATCTTGAAAACTGGTAAAGAAAGAAAGAGAATCAAGTATTTATCTTGCCTTTTCTGTATAAACTATAACACTGGGTAACCAATGGGGGAAATTATCTCTATATAAAAGCATTTTAATTAATGAGTGAGAAAGAAATGCAGAATTAGAAATCTTTTTTATAGCTGTTATTTTTATTGAGGCATGTAGAAATGTTTATTTTGCAATCTTTAAAAAGTCAATGAATTGAGATGTTGTTCAATAGCTGCTAACATCACCCAAAGAGAGACAGCCAGACACGAGATGCCTCTTGATACAAGCGCAACAGCACCTGTAGTCTTGCCAGACAATCTGAATCCAGCTGCCATTCCGTAGGAAACGCAGAGGACAGAGAACAAATTGAAGTGCGACATAACTGTGCAAGCAGCAAAATCCAGACTGTGGGAAACTCAAGACAAATGCCCAGGGTTCTTCAACCAAGACAGGAAAAGAAAAGAATGGAGGTGGAATCTGCAGAAAGAGACAAACAATGTATCAAATTATTTTTAAATACATGTGTACTTGAGTGATAAAATCATACAGAAATGTAAAGAAATTCAAACTTTAAAAGTCAGGATGATACTGATTTTTGTGGGGAGGAAAAGAAACAGGGCACCAGAGGAGTTTCTGGGTGACTGACAAAGTTCTATTTGTTGACTTGAATAGTGGTTCCAAGGATGTTCACCTTAGTAACTTAAAAAGCCACATATTTGTTTTTTGTTTGTGTTTGTATCTATGTTTCTTTGTTTCATTTTTAAATAAAAAGGTTTTTAAAAATGATGCTGAAATTATAAGCTCTTCCCTTAATTCTCTACCCCAACTTCAGAGATAAATACTGTTATCATTTTGGTGTTTGTCTTTCCAGACTTTCTAATGCATATGTAAACATGAATGTTATGTAGGTTTTACCTAAATGACAATATACTGCAAAGGCAATTTTGAAACCAGACTTTTCACTCAGCAAGATGTATGGTTGAATTCTTTCCATGTCAAATCATATAGAGCAGCCATGATCATTTATGATAAAGAGGTAATTATTTTTAAATAAAAATAACCATTCCTTACCAAAAATTTCAGGCAATATAGAAAGTTCAAAAAAGAAAAGCAGCACATTCCTCAAAATCTCACCACCCAGAAAAGAAAGTAATCCTGCCGTTGTAACTATGTGAGGTGATGGATGGTAACTAAACTTATTGTGAAAATCATGTGTAATGTATGTATATGTCAAATCAATATGTTGCACATCTTAAACTAATACAGTGTTATATGTCAATTATATCTCTATGAAACTGGAAACCATCTCTCCATCTAGAAAAATGTAACATAACTCAAGAAGTCTCTTATTTTATATAAAGTTAGAAAGTGAGAGAAGGAATTTTGTGATTATTTGCCAGAGTTATTTTAATTGAAGAACCAAATTTGTTTTACTTTTACAGAAGAAAAAACTAAAATTAAACTGAAGTAATAATTCAGATAATTTTTTCCCTACCATGGGAGAAGTGTTTTTATAAGACATTCCTGAAGTTAAAAAAGTTAGGAAATCATTAAGAAGTTGAAGTTTAGGAAATAATTAAAGTTGAAGTTACAATATTTCTCTTGATTTATGTTTCCCTTCTAGGTGATTGTAGTTGGTTCTCTACAGGTCAAAGATGAGGTAATTAGCATTTTATTTCCTCCTTCTTGCCTTCTCCCACTTCCTGATTTGTAAAATCTTTCTATTATTTTTAATTTGTCAGGACTCATAGCACCTACATTTTGTTCCACAGCTAGAATTCCATCAGTTCTTTGTCTTAGTTCTTATGTAAACAGCTTCCCTGCCTTTCATCAGTACTTTTACCTCTTGCCTTGGTGTCTTCTGTTCCTGAATTCTTTTTTTTTTAAATTCATTTCCTAGTCCTGATTGGTTGGATTTTTTTTTCAAGAAGTACTTATGGGTGTTTTGTTTGTTTGCTTGTTTGTTTCTTTTCCAGCATACAGTGGAAAATTTCCTCTGCAGATTCAGTTCTTCCTTCATTTTAGGAAAAATGTTTCTATATTGTGTTTCTGAATGCGTATTTTGTTGCGTTGATTGGATTCTCTACACCAATTAGGGACACCAGTTATCATTACGTTTGATTATCTTGGTTCTCTTAATAATCTTCTTCCTAATTGCTTTACTCCCTCTGCGTTTTCCCTTTGTATTTGCCATAATTATCTCAAGCTTTTTCTCCATGCCATTAATTCAATTTTCAATCATGTCTTTCCTGTTATTTGTCACTTCTAATTTATGTATTAGATATATAACAGTATTGTTTCAGTTCTTGATTCATTTCCTTAGCTCTGAACTGTCTTTACTCTCCCTCTGTCATTTTATTATCTTGATTTTGGGGTCTTATTTTCTCAGATTCATTTTCTTATTAAGGTCTTTTTAGTGCACAGGTCTCCCTGGGGATCTCTTTTATCTTGGCATTATGTTTTCTTCCAGGCTGGTTTCTTCATAGTTCACTTCCTCCCCAGTGCTCCCTTTTACTCTACCCCCATTTACATGGTTGCCATGTAATTTCTTTTCATCTCACTCTTGTTTAATAAGGGCATCTCCAGTCAGATCTTTTTGGTAACTGTTATATAGCTGATGTAGTCTCTCTGCCATTTCTATCTTATTTAGGATGAATGTGTTGCCCTCTCTCTGAGCTAGTTTTTGTTCATTATATTAGGTATTGGAAAATCTTAGAATGCTTTTTCTGAGATCCAGATTTTATCTTGTTACATCTTGTTTGGGACTCTTTGATGGTTTCTCAAGCTTTTAGGGAAAATGTCTAAACTTCTTAACTTATATTATTGTGTAATGGGTTTTGGAGCCAGACTACTTGAGTTCAGAAATTAGCTCTGCCTTACTTGCTATCTGTGTGACTTTGGGGGACCTTTCTGTGCCTGTTTCCTTGTGAGAATTAAATAGGTTAATGCATGTAAAGCTTTCATTGAGCACATGCTCAATAAATACTATTTATTGCTTTTTATTAAAAGGAGCCATCACTGACAGCAATAATGGTCCCATACCACCCAGAGCCCCTGCCTGACAGCCCAGGAGCTGTCCGTGGTGCTAAAACAATGCTCTTCATCATAGGACAATATCCCCCCATTTGTCATATATTTCGCCTCAAATAGGGGGTAAATCCATGATTACATCTTTCCAGCTTTAGCAGTAGATGTAGAAACTGTTTTTCCCTTTCCATTTCCGCAACTGCCGTCTTAACCCTGACCTTATTTACCTCATCAGATCCATTCTATGTGACTGAGATGTCTCCTGTCTTCCCTACCTCTGGACCATTTGGCCAACCATACTCACATTATCTTCCTCCAAATCTTTGTCTTTATCAAGTCATGTCCCTACTTAATAAAGCACACAAGGAATTTTGCACACAAGGAATTTCGAAAGATTAGAAACTCAAATGGCAACATAAAGGGATGGTTAAATGATAATATATCAATGAGATGTGCATATTAAGGAGCAATAAAGGTAATTATTAAGGCCGTGTAAAAATATACATGAAAAACCTTTTGTTGATGAAAAATAGAAGGCTGCAATATGTTTTTTTAAAAATCATTCATTCATTTTTTAAACATGTATTGAGCACCTATTTTATAAGCCTACTTTGTGATAGGCTTTAGAGACATAAGAGTTATTAAGACAGTCCCTTCTTTAAGGAGCCTTCTTTACAGGAGTCTTCTTTAAAGAAGAGATAGCCATGTAAACAGCTTGTAAGCAGATATGCATTTAGACAGAGACTAGGAAGGGATATGGAAATATGTAAATAGTATCAGGGTGAGAGTGCAGGTGAATTTTGTTTTTTTAAAATACCTGTTAGGGAATAAATCCTGCACAGAACCTCAGAGAGGAGAGCAGAATCAAATTCCTCTGTCAACAGCTACCCACCCCTGCATCTTCTGGCCACCAAAAAAAAAAAAAAAAAAGATTACTGGTGTGTCCATCCCAAGACTGTGGCTCAGAGAAGAGGCCTTGACAAGAGCAAGAAGAAAAACAATGGCATAGCAACCACGCAGGCCCTCTACAGCAAAATAAATCAATATTTTTGAATGACTGGGATTATGCAATTAAAAATGGAGGAAATGTGTATAATGGTACTCTGACAAGCATCCCTAGCCTCTTATTAACTGGTTGTCAGGCATAACTCCCCAGTCATGTGCCCCAGGAGTCCCTAGAAGATCTGATCTTTTCACTGTTACCACCTCCATGTTGATTATTCTGCTGTTCCCTATCAAGAATATTCTTCACTCTTTTAATTCAAATCTTGTACTTTTTCTTAAGATAAGGACTCATTTTCTTCAACAACCCTTTTTTAGTTAACTCCATTCTATTCTGGTATAAATACTTGAAAGTCAGTTTTACTAGATATAAAATTCTTGGCTCACGTTTCCACTGCTTTGAAGAAGTTCCAGAGAGAGGAGTCTGTGATCCATTAGCATCCATCTGCCTGCCATTGGTTAATCTCATAGGCTCTGGAGTTAGACAGATTTGGGTTAGAGCTTCACTGTTTATTAGCCATACAACCTATGAAGAGTGCTTAATCTCATTAAACTTTTATTTCCTAATCTATCCCATGGATATAATGACAACTAGTTGGTAGGGTTTGGTGAGAATGAGACAGATTGATACATGTAAAATGGCTTGTCATAGTGCCTGGGGCATATGAAGAACTCAAGATATGTAGTTGTGACCATTTCTTTTCCTTGAAATTATTCTTGATCTGTTTCAGGGAAATATGGATTGATTCAACCAATAACATATGTCCTTCATAGTTGGTATTTAATAGATGCCTTCTGAAGAATTCTAACTTAAGAACATGGCAAAGAAAAACAATATCCCATTACTAGTGCATTTTGAAATGGAGAATGACAAACTGGTAAGAAGTTACGCTAACTGGTAACATTTCTTATCTACAAAAAGTAGGAAATTATTAATTTCTCTTTTACTATTCATGTGAAATTGTAAGCTGGTTCATTGCTGCCTAATTTTATGTCAAATGCCTATCTACGTTGATAACTAATGAAAGAAGCTAAGTTGACCTCCAGCCTGAAGATCAAGAGGGCTAAATATCACTGTGACTAGTGGGGATGTTGTTACACAATTAAGAAAAAGAGAAAAGGAAAAGGAAATACACTATGTTCTCAAATACTAGGTGGTTTTCAAGGAAATAAATGTAATATATCTGAATTTAGAAGGCTGATGGAGGTGTGATAATATGAACTAGAGCTGTAACTCTTACTGCTAACACACCATGAAGATGCTTTAAAGATATTAAAGAAATAAACACCCTCCTCTTCACCCTCCCCTGTAAAAGAAGAAAATCTGATTCAATCTAGCTCCACTTTTAAATTGGTTCTTTAAGTTAATGATAGTATTGGAAACATGGGGATTTCTGTAGATGAGCAGTAAAGACTATGTTCTGTTAGCATCTGATGTGTTGTCATTTATTTGATACAGCTGAAAAATTGTGTTGGCTTCTGAAGGGAGTTTAAAAATTATTCAGGCTAACTAATGCTTGAAGATCACCCTGACAATTACTTAACTTCAACTTCCTCCCTCACATCAGGGGTCTTATTCAAGTTTAGTAAGCAAATAACATGAGTTGGATTAGATAGTGTGTTCACAAAGGAAAGAACATTCATTAGCAGGAGGAGAGAGAGGTAGTGTTGTAGAGAGCAGCATAAGCAGTGTAAAACCCGTGGGGCTGTGGTGAGATATACAAACCAATGAACTGACTAACTCTGTACCTCCAAGTTACAATTTC